GTTCAAAGTAGGTACTGAAATACTTTACAGATGATGAAATTGGAACACAGAGAAGATCATACAGCTAGTGAGGGGCTGAATCCAGGAAATCCGATTACAGAACTTACATTTTTCTGTAATGGCTAAGAAAATCTGGATTATCTTTTAAAAAAATCAGAAAGGCTATCACTTAAGGTTGAATAAATGCATGTGAGTGCCTTAGGGATTTCTGCACCTAACGCTTCTTTTACAGCCCATGGTTCCAACTTTTACCCATGGTTTACACTCTGGGTGACATTAAGGAACTTCTCAAGGATTCCATCCTACCAAGAACAGGAAGAATAAGCAGCATTCCAATGGGCACTGCAAATCTACCCGTCAGTCATCAGCCATTCCAGCCTGTAGAATTCGTGTCTGGGCCTGGAGACTTCATAACCACCTTTCTGCCCCTGGATTATCTTCTCTGGAAATGAGAATATTCTGGAACACATAGACTTTGGAGTCAGTGGGACATAGTTTTGAATCCTGACTCATTTATTTGCCTTTATAAACTTGAGGAAGTCCATAAAGATTTGGAGTCTCAGCTTCCTCAGCTGTAGAGCAGAGGTGATCCTGAATTTTTCTGAAATTATGAAGACTAAGTTGGGTCATGTTTGCAAAATACTTAGCACGGTGCTTGGAACATAGTAACCCTCACATCACTGCCACCATTCACCTTCATGCTACACATGTAGACTGATGTGTAAACTACTCATATTAATAATTAAGCTGCTGTGATTATTAACTTACTTAACCCTCATACGTTATAATGAGACATGGGCTGTCTTTATCCTTATCTTGTAGATAAAGAAGTGGAGGCACAGTTAAGCAACTTGTTCATCCAGTTACTAAGTGGCAATGTCATGACTCAAACCCAGGCAGTTTATCTCTAAAACCTACACCCTTAATAACTGCCAAAACGTGCTTGATAAACAGTAGTTATTGAACAGTTGATCTTAACTGGGCCAAGTTTGCCCTCCTCTTCCTGTAGGACATTTGGCAGTGTCTAAGTATATTTTGGTTGTCATGAGTGAGGGAGAAATGCTATGGGCAGCTAGTGGGGCAGAGGTCATTGATGCTGCTAAACATCCCATGATGCACAGGACAGCATAGCCTCCCGCAATGAAGAATTACTAGGTCCAAAATATTTATAATATCAATGTGGTGGACCTAGCTACAAAGTGAAAGAAGACGCAACTGAATTGTGAAATTAATTGCTAATTAACTGCTAATACAACGTCATTGTTTCAGGTATTAAAAGGTGCTTATAATCAGGCAGGTCACAGGCTTTGCATCCTTCGAAGCTGTGCCTGTGCTATCGGAAATGCATGCCATGCCTGGTGAAAGGCTTAAGCCCAAAGAGTTGGATCCCAGCTCAGCTGTGAGCACACTGAGCCTCTCAAAACCCGTTTCCTCATGTGTACAAAGAATTCTTGCCTTACAGATCCATGAGACTGAACAAAACATGGCATGTATCTGGTATACAGAAAATGCTTAATGAACTTGTGAGATTGTTATGCTGGGGGCTTCTTAGTGGCTGCAGCAAGAAACGGATGTGTTAGGCCAATACAAAGACACAAGCAGGTGGCTGCCTGATTCCTGGAGAGCACAGGAATGAGCAAAGTCAAATACACGGCGACAATTTCTCCAGCTAGCTTCCTTCCCTGAAAGGCACATTTGTCTGCAGGCGAGGGTGGAAAGCATTCTGTCTCCATACCTGGCAGTTTTTATAATTTTGTGGTGGGAATGGGGATATTTGGTGTTTGTTTGGCTTTGTTTCCCGCCCTCCCAACCCCAGGGTTTCATCTGCTCAGCTCCAGCAAAAAACACTTAAATGTAGGGATTGGAGGCCAGCATCAACAGACTCATATCATTCTTGATTCCTGCCATGCTAACAGGGAAATTAAGTAGGTGGATAACACTGAAGGAGTTTTTCTTCTTTGGGCTAACATTAATCTTTTTTTTCCTCTAGGACAAAATGTAAAACTGTGTGTTTCAAACACACACACACACACACACACACACACACATGCGCATATACACACATACACACGACCCTTTTCTTTCCTGCTCCATCTGAAGACCTACACAAGTTTTGTGCTTCCTTTTGTTACTGGAGATGAGAACATCACATAGCCTTCTCTAGGATTCTCTGCAAAGCAAGGCTGACTCATTTGAATCGTGACCACTATTTCTTCCCTCATCTGGAAATCCAAATGCGATTCGCACACTCTAAGAGTACAGTTCTAAAGACACAGGCACCTCAGTCTTTTTAGAGAAATATTATATTTTTAATCAAGTAAACGTTTTAATTACTAACCTGTGTCCCACCTCCTACACTCCCAAAAAACACAAAACCTGCTCATGAATCTCTCACGAGTTTCCTGTGAAGCAAGGCAGCAGCAGCTTCTTTGCGCTCATGATTATAAGGGCTGAACACCCTTTGCAGAAGTTCCTTTGTGAGTGAATATACTGTAATTTTACTTTTTATTTATTTATTTTTTGGTGAGGCACAGTAGTTTGTGCATTGTTTCTGGGCTGGCAGAGCCAGATTTCAGGGCAGATCTGCTTTGTCTTATATTTGGACGTCTGCAGGACAGGGGGAGCCTGCAGGGAATTAAAAGCAAATTACTCTTCCCTCCCTCCTCCTTCTACCACTTAGACTAAAGTTCTGGTGGCCACTGGGACTTCTCACTGGTTTTCTTGGCAAATGCGGTCGAATCCCTGAAATAACATCTGCCCAAATAATAGGAAAATATTGAGCAGTGAGAAATACCAGACTTGAGTTCTTATCCTTGTTTTGCAGCCAACTAACTATGAAACTGTAAGTGTATCATATGGCTCTCTGACCCTCAGTTTCCCCTCTGGGAAGTGAGTGTGCAGGGATTGCTGGTGAAATCCCAAAAGCCCATGCTATATGAAAATGTGGACCCAGGGATACCAGTTAATCCTTTTTTTTTTTTTTTTTTTTTTTAATAAAGGGAGTTCCTGGATGTTGGAAATGAATATTGGGTAGGCTACACATGTTCATAGGCCAAATAAGGCTCCAGGGCTGAATGCAGCATCATCTGGGTGATGTTTTCTCTGTGACCATGACCCCAAACAGCTCCCTAATACAACTGTGCAAACAAGCCACGCACACAAAATCCTGGAGAAAAAAAGTAACCACCAATATTCAGAGCCTGAGGATGTAACTCAGTTCAGCTATAGAATATGTTCACTTATTTATTTCATATCACTCACAGAAATGCACAAGCGATATGCACAAGAAGTGGAATAAGCTATCTCATGTGTCATGAGACATGAGTATGACTCCAAGTAGATTTTGCCTGTGGTTAAGTAGACCTCTTTCCAACAATCACCCTGGCAAGAACATAGGAAGAGAAAGCAGTCACAATACCCTGAGTGTGGATGTTCAAATACATTAACAACATGAGATAAAAAAAACACTGTCACTGTGTGAATTTTAACTGGAGGAACATATCTCAGGCTTTTATTTATCAAGATTTGATTTTAATTTTATATCTTGAGAACTAAGGTGACAGCTCTTTTGTTTCCTCTAAAGAATGAAGTAACTTGGCTGGGCGTGGTGGCTCATGCCTGTAATCCCAGCACTTTGGGAGGCCGAGGTGGGTAGATCACAAGGTCAAGAGATCGAGACCATCTTGGTCAACAAGATGAAACCCCGTCTCTACTAAAAATACAAAAATTAGCTGGGAGGCTGCCTCCTGCCTCGGGAGGCTGAGGCAGAAGAATTGCCTGAACCCAGGAGGCAGAGGTTGTGGTGAGCCGAGATCGTATGCCATTGCACTGCAGTCTGGGTAACAACAGCGAAACTCTGTCTCAAAAAAAGAATGAAGTAACTTCAACAATACACTTACATGGCTTTTCTTCAACATCTTGGATGAGGTTTATGAGAAATAAGAAGCAAAGGAAAAATATCAACTATCTATAATCAATAAAGCAGATGAAGGCAGGCAGGCTTGCCTTCCAGAGTTTTCTGTGCTGCCTACCAAACTGTTGAGTCTTTGGTATAAATAATGTACGTAACTACCCTGTGAGAAGTCATGTTTCTCTCACCTGCTTCAAGACATCTATGTAATCCACATTCCATTTTCACTTTTGCTGGATAGGTAAGGTAGTAAAAAGATTTCTAAATGACAGGGAAAAATAAATCACTTGCACATTCTCAAAAGTATTTTCCAAGGCTTTAGATCTTCAGACCCACAGACCTTCATCTGTGCTTTTAGATTCACTCACTTTTCCGCCAGTGATTCCCAAACTTTAGGGTATCATGGACCAGTCAAATTTCAATGCACACTTGGAGCTGCTAACATTTAAACGAAATTTAAAAGAGGAATTACAACAAAACAAAGTAAAAAGGAGACCAAAATGGTCCAGCAACCATCTGCCTTCCCCAAATTTCATTCAAAAAACAATATTTCAAATCAAAAATAGTAGAAAGTACATACTCTTAAAATGAAGTATCATCCCGAGTTGAATAAAATAAGCTTTATTTAAAAATTACCATGTGATCCTGATTTTTTTCCTTTTTAGCAGGTCCATGCAAACTTTGCCAGAATGCAGGAACCACTATATGACTCGATCTAATGTTCTAGGATTGTGTATGACTGATCCACTCCTTAATAGGGAACTTAGTGAAATACAATCACATAATATTTATCATTCATATATCAGAATATCTTTCACGTAAAAAAGTTTCTTTGCCTTTTAATGAGAAACCACATAGGAAAGCCCAAAAGAGATTTTGATTTTAATGAATACATGTGCCTTGTCCTAAACCTTCTGCCCTGGTACCTCACAGGTGGAGATAAGGTAGGGTTTTGATATTAATTTTGACATTAATTTTCTCTTAAAAGGCAAATAAGTACTCTGCAATCTGATCATTTAAGAAGGTCGTGCCAGCACCACCCTTGTGGAGGCTTTTGCATGCTTGAGGGAAAGGAGGCAGTGAACATTACCTTTGGAATGCACATTGTGGGCTCGGACAAGCGAGGGTAGGTGTAGGAGTTGTAGGAGTGTCCTTGGGGATGGGTTTTAAATGCACTTGCTCCAAATGGCATCATCGGTTCCTGGAGCCCCGAGCCTGACCTGGACCTCTGCCGCATGGTGGGCTGAGGGCTCGTCTGATTTAGGTACGATGACTTTGGCCTCCTGTCATAGTCATCCAGGCTGGGTCCCCATTCACTTTCACTGTAGGCCAGGCTCTCCTTGGAGCACCCACTGGTCCCTGCAGTTCTAGAAGGTGTGAATTGGAATGAATAATCCAGATGGGAGCTACTCGAGGCTCTCTGATACTCCCACTTGAGGTCACTATACTCACTTGGTTTGCTCAGTGAGTCCAAATGTGAGTGATAATCTGCAGAAAATCTGGCAAAATCTGATTTAAAAGGCTTCATCTCAGAATAGTAGGCTTCCCCGTGCTTCATTTTCATTACATGCCCATTTTGCTTGGCTGCATGGCTGCCTCTGTAATACGGATCCAGGTCGTCTCCATAGAGACTCTTCTCTCTGTACTTTTCAGTTGTGTAGTCAGCAGTAGTATCGGATTCGCTGGAATACTGGGAGAAGGTGATGAAGCCGTTTTCTTCCACGTGGCCTGGACCGTGGCTGGAGGCTCCCTGATCTGGGGTGGGTGGGCTTTCTTTCCTTAGGGAGTTGGAGCGAGTCACCGAGATGTTGTCGAAATCCTCTAGCAGGCCATTGATGGAGGTTTCCTTGCACGGTTTGTTTCCTCTAACGATTGTCTGGGAATAATAAAGGGAATATTGTTTAAAGAAAGTATTTCATGCCCTTAAATTGATGGAGGAGTCCCACCCCGACTCCATCCGAATTAAACTGCAGAAGAAAAAGACCCAGGAACACTTAATAAAAAATTATAAAGAAAAAAATTGATTGACTTCAGTGGTGAAGTAAATCAAATTGCAATTTTTTCTTACCTATCTTAATAGAGACATCAATTAACTATGAAGAAGCCAAGCAGGAGACTGCATAGGCTATCACTGTTTTATTTACCAGTTTATAGGCAAATCCCTTGACCCTAGTTCTTCCACCTAAATAAAAGGCTCTAACCACCTAATGATGAACTGATAAGTATACTTTAACACTCTATAACAGTTTGGTAATAAAAAATGATATTGATGACTGTTTTACATTCATTATTCAGATGATTTTCAAAACCAGAAGGCATTGTCACCCAACTATTAACATAACTAGAAATGGGTGTACATTTTTTACCCTTACATGGAAGACATATAATAACTGAGGTTATGAAATTTTATAGATGAGGAAGGCACTTCCTGAAACGGTAATTAGGAAACAGCTTGAAGATTATTTGTGTGATTTATAATCAAATGTGATATTCGTATTAAGTGTATGACTGTACTGCTTGCTTGCTATGGCCATATTTGTGTGTATCATCATCACCGAATTTTGGAGGGCTTAGTAATAATGGTTGCAACTGGATCTTAGTGAGACAAATTGTTCCCTTTAAACCTAAATAACAACAGAATACCAAGAACTGAAAGATATCGCAAACCACTTATAAAATCCATCAGCCATGCCTTGACAATGACAAGATTTGCAGGAAAATATGATGGGAGTGGATAAAAGAATAAAGAACAAAGTGCTGTGACTTCAGACTTCCAGGATTTTAAGAGAAAGACACCTTTGAGCAAGTAGCAGGGAGTTCAAAACCATCTTGGACGGTACAATAGAAGATTTCAAACTGGAGGAAAAGTCAAAATTGTCCTAGAGCTGATGTTTTATAGATCTATCCATGGTGAAACACAAGCTTTATTTCTTTTCTCTCAAACAGTCCTGGACTAATACTTTGGTTCTATAACCTTTCCTTTCAAACAATTTTTTTTTTTAAATTTTAGAATAGTTTTAGATTAACAGAGAAGTTGCAAAGAGAATACAGAGTTCTCATAGACTTCTCATCCCGTTTCCTCTTCTGTTAACATCTTGCATTGCTTTTAAGGAAACTCCATGTTCCTGCAGATTTTATTAATTTTCTCCTAGGGTTCCAGAGTTCCATCCAGGATAAGTTGTTACATTTATTTGTTATGTCTTCCAAATTTCCTCTGGTCTGTGACAGTTTCTCAGGCTTTCCTTATTTTTATTTATTTATTTTTTTATGACCTTGACAGTTTTGAGGAGTACTAGTCAGGTATTTTGGAGAACATTCCTCAATTGGGTTTTTCTGATGTTTTTCCCATGGTTAAACAGAGGTTATTTGTTTTGAGGAGGAAGACCAGAGAGTAAAGTCACAGTTTCATCACATGATGTTCAGGGTACATGTCATTGACATAACTTAGTAATGATGATGTTAGCCCTGATTATCTGGGTGAGGTAGTACTTGCCAGATTTCTTATACACAGAGTCATATTCCCCTCCCCTTGATTTCCATATATTGTATTCTTTGGGAGCAAGTCAATAAGTGTAGCCTCTACTCAAGGGGCAGGGATTTAAGCCCTAGCTTCCAGTGTGTGTGTGTGTGTGCGCATTGTGGGTGGTATCTATACAAAGTTGTCGGAATTCTTCTGCACAGGAGACTTGCTTATTTGCTCCCATTTACCTATTTATTCAATTATTTACTTATATATAAGGATGAATGGACTCATGGTTATTTATTTTATACTTTGGATTATAATCCAATACTATGTTATTTGCTTTGCTGCTCAAATGGTTCCAGCTTTTTTCACTGAGAGTTCTCTCAGGCTGGCTGCTGTGTCCCTTTGACAATACCTCTTCCTTTTATTTTTTGAGCACTTCTTTATTTTTTGTCACTACAAGAAGCTACAGGTTTATCTTGCATTTTCATCACCCCTCCCCCCAAATCAGGCATTTCTCCAAGGAGCCCTAATGGTATGACAAATGAAGATTTGGTTCTGGGTATACTCATTGCTACTGAGTGTCATTGCCAGGCATCGGCAAACAGAGCTCCATAATAATGTTTGTAGCCTAACTCATAAACACACCCACACACCTATAATTATATCCATCCATCTGTATCTATGTTAACCTAAACATAAATCCATATTAATGTCTCTGAATCTAATCAAGTACCACATAGTACATTCTAGCCATTTCCTTACTTACCTGTAACTTTGCTCTGTAACTAAAAAAAATGGGCCCTACCACCTGCCATTCATTTGCTTATTCAGTGCTAGTATTCAGCAGTTTCAGATTAACCCACTCTACCATGAGAAACAACCTTGTCAACTCAAGCACAGTGTTTATGTCTAGTCCTTTATTACTTTACACATGTAGTTTCCATTCAAAGCACTGTTTCTAAAGTTCCTTGAGCTAGTGTCTCTTAATCCATAAAACATCGAGATTAATCCTTACCTAACAGGTAAGGATGTGACGATTTAATGTGACGATTTAATACAGTAGTATGTATAAAAAAGTTGGCATGATTCCTGACATATACAAAGTACTAATAAATGCTAGTTACTTAACTATTTTGGGGGGTAAATTTTACTTTTAAATTTGATTGATAATAAATTAAGAAGGAAGGATGCTACAAACAACAGCTAGAAGAAATAAATCTAGCTTTATATAGTGGGAAAAAAAGGATAATTGATGTAGGACACTTTAAAGTACTATTAGCAAATTTAGATAAAAATACAAATTTCTTGAATTTAAACAGATGTATCTCAAATTAATTATAATTTTTACATAAATACTTCTCCCAAAATCTAAAAAATGGGATACTTTCAAATTAATATTCAGCATTCTATATTTTTCTTAAAAATGAAATGTATGAGTCAGAAAACTAACCATATTGGACTTTCAATATTTAAATGGAAAGATAGGTATAGAAGAGAAAAGTTGATGGAAATATGGTAAAATTTTGATAGCAGCTGTCATCTCAGGGTGGGAAGACTAAGGGTGATTTATATTTTAGTCCAGTGCTTCTCAAACTTTGATGTGCACACAAATCACCCAAGCATCTTGTTAAAGGGAGACTCTGATTCAATAGGTCTGGGTGGGGCCTGGGATGCTAGAATTCCAAAAAGCTCTCAGGTGATGAGGATGATGCCGGTCTGAGGGTTACACTGTGTATACAAAGGGGTTAGTGCATTTTCTCGATCTTCTACAATCAGAGTTATCTTTACAATAAAATAGAGTGAGATATGCTTTTCTATATAAGAAAAGTCAGCATTATATTTATATACATACATATATAATAGTATTAAATATGCATTTTATTAGCTATGTATAATATGGTGTTAAATGTACTATATGTATTGTGTTGTATGTATACATACATAGCGCAAAGTATATTTACATTATATATACACATATCATATTAAAATTATTTGATGTTATAGTTGTCTGTTGGGAACTACATGTTCATTTCCCCATTCCCTACAAAGGTGAAACATTTCTCCAGCTTAACTAAAATGATGACTTTCGTGTATTTCACCATTTTGGTACACCTGCTTCTTTAGCATCATGCTCTTACTATGGGGCTGTAAGACTTAGAGTTTTTGATGAACAAAATCTGAACACTACAAAATATACGGTGTGGTTACAAACAATTGAAAAGAAGAAATACTAATCAACCATAGTAAAAAAAAAATGAAAGCAAAACCAAGAGGCCAACCAAACAAACAAAAGGGGAAACTAAAGCATGTCCTAAGAGTTTTTTCTTGGATTTAGTTTTCATGTTTAGTATTTGAAAATATCTGTTGATGGTGTAAATAAAGCACACACCCTTCTGTTTCAGTGAAAACCGTTAACTTAGTGGTAACAAGCAGGGGCTTACAAAATGTAAACGTTTGTTAAAAACAAATTTTGCCCAACCCACAAAAGGAAAAGAAAAGAAGCCCAGTTAAATCAGAACCGAGGCAATATTTGTTTTGCTGATACAGGTTTCACTTCATGGAATTGTAAGCGGCAAAGCAGTAATAATGAAAATCCAAACATGCAGAATTTTCCAACGCGGTGTAACCAGGCTTCCAAATAGAAGAACAACTAGTTATAATTGTCTGCTTCTGGTGTTCATTAAAGCAAAATTGTGCACTTTTATGGAGATCAATAATACAATAACTGCAAGAGGATTGGTGAATTTTATGCCATGGAACCTCCAGGCATTAGAAATCAATGCAACCCAATCTATTTGAGTTTGAAGCCATGGTGCTCATTGTCTTTCCATTGTATCCGGGACCAGCTCAGCATCTGTTCGGGCTCCCAGTGACAGTGGCCATATTTCATAGTGCTCCTTCCGCGGGCTGTTGGCTGGTGATAAGCTATAATGGATCTGTCTGTGAGAACAGCTGTCTCCCCTTGTTCCCCGAGAAGAGATGAAAAAAATGCCTCTGCTCTCATAGACTGTATTAACCTTGACAATAATGAAGTGTATAATTAACAGCTTTGCCCTAATAGGACTCCGCATCTCTTTTTCAAAAACAATATCTTCTATGTGCCTCAAACATGTGTTTCATTTTGTCTTTTGGGCAAATATAGCTCAGGAGGTTAATAAGCAGAATATTTCCACAACTAAAGTATGAACCAAGATCCTCTCAGAACATGTGTACTTTTAAACTGTCTATCTGCATTCTTGCCCTGTTTGTAAAGAACCAGTTTCCTTGTTTGTATTAAGGCAAGTAGGTGGAAACATCAGGGAACACAGTCACGACAAACAGATTTGATCTACCGAGATCCTTATAGGAAGAAATGGTAACTCTTGTTTGGATTTTGTAATTTCATTATATATTCTCAATAAATATTTTCA